GAGAGAGAGAGAGAGAGAGAGAGAGAGAGAGACGCGAGGAGAAAGCAGAATGAGAGGAGGGAGGCAGAGAGAAAGGAGGCTTATGAACCCACTGGGGAGAAGAAATAAAGAAAGTAGACCTTTTGCCGTTTTATCAGTCGGAACATTGGATTCATAATCGGGAACTTGGAAGAGATAGGGAGAGAGAGGGAGGTAGAGAAAAGTCAGAGAGAGAGGGAGGAGGGAGAGAGAGGAATAAGTGAAGGATTGAAAGAAAGAAAGAAAAAAAATAGGTAGATAGAGAGTCTCAACAGACAAAATAGCAATCAAACAGAGAGAAAGAGAGAGAGAGATAAAGTCAGAGAGACAGAAGGGCAATCAGAGAGAGAGAGAGAGAGAGAGAGAGAGAGAGAGAGAGAGAGAGAGAGAGAGAAGAGAAGAGAGAGAGAGAGAGAGAGAGAGAGAGAGAGAGAGAGAGAGAGAGAGAGAGAGAGAGAGAGAGAGAGAAGAGGGGGCTAGATAGATAGACAGATAGATAGGTAGATAGATAGATAGATAAATAGATAGATAGAGAGAGAGAGAGAGAGAGAGAGAGAGAGAGAGACGGCCGCCCCCATGTCGACTTCGTGTGCGCTCGAGCGAAGAGAGAAAATGTGGAGGTGACCGGTTATGTGCGTTTGAACGGTTTTGTTTCATCTCGTAAGGAAAGGAAGCTCATGCACGCACACAAAGTACTTACATATAGTCATACACACACTCATATTCCCATATACACTCACACACACATACGTACACTTACACACACACATAGATATTCACATACATATACTCACATACAAACTCACACTCACACACATACAAAAAAAAGAAGAATTATGAAAAACATGCAAACGTTCAAGTGGATAAGAAAGACATTAAAGAAGAGAAAGAGAAGTCGAGAGAAAGAGGGAGAAGGTGAGAATGAAAGAAAGAACGAGAGAAGGAAGAACAATAGATAAATAGATAGAAAGACGATTATTCATATGTATCTAACAATAAAAAAAATGCACCAAAAAAACATACAAAGAAATAAATGATTTAAAACAAGAACAACAAAACAACGACAAGAAAACAACAACAACAACAATACTACTACTACCATTACTAATGATAATAATAATAATAATAATAATAATAATAATAATAATAATAATAATAATAATAATAATAATAATAATAATAATAATAATAATAATAATGATGATAATAATAATAGAAACGAGCCAGAAGCAGAAGCTGTTGACCTTATGACCAATGACGAGTTAAGTATTTCAAAACTTTTCCTCTAACTAGACTTTCACTGCTTGAAATTTCCCCGATAACCTCTCTCGATTCACAAACAAGTTTATGATATCGCCATCCTCCAAAATATAACACGAGTTTCACGTCGAAAGTATTGCAATTACTGAATGTTTTGTCCACTCAGCAACCTGTTTCATGCGGGGAAACTTCTTCCTGATAAGAGTGAGTTAAGAGTGAGGTCGTTGGGTATATGGGTGTGATATAGGGTATTTGTCGCATTATATAACGGCCTAAGTTAGAGGTATTCATCCTTATTGTATCGTTTACCACTAGATTTGACTTATTCTAAAGAGATTACAACAGAAAAAAGAAAGAAAGAAAGAAAAAAAAACGTTTAGTATAACCCAAGATATAGATAACCAGGTAGCTCCTCTTTCATTTAGTCTACTGACCCCAAAAATGAAAGTGACAATTTCCCAAGAATATTCTTACGACTGATAATGGTATGGAACTCTTTGTTATCATAGATAACATAGGCATTTTAATAAGTATAACAATATAGAGTAAATTATACAAACAATTATGTATCTAGCTGTATCTGATATCTCACAATGCACTCTCATTAGTTCAATAATAATAATGATAAAAGAAACTATCAAAAAGAAACCAGAAAATATAAAGAAAAATATTTGCAATGAATAAAGGTGAAGAGGCGGGATTAACTGTGTAAAGATGCCTTGGTATAAAATACTGCATCGGTATTTTAAAATTCAAGAGCACTTTGTATTCACTTAACATTACAAGGTCCTTCATGAATGATTTAGATGCTTTTAATTTATATTTTAAGGATTTAGGGTGTTGCATAAGTATCCCAGGATAGCTGTTAAGTTTTTTTTCGCGTAATCTAAAATAAGTTTTATGGAAATGTATAACTGTTCAGAGAAATACATAACGATCTTAGGGGAATCTTTAGCGGTTTTAGGGAAATGTACAATGTTTTTTAAGGAAATGGATTATGTGTTTAGGTTATGAAATAAAACTTTTAAGTTTCTGCAAAAGGTTTTTAAGTTTGGATATAAAGGTATTTGTATACTGCATAAAAAAAAACTAACAGATCTATATTCTAAGACAAATAACAAATAAACACACAGACATCATACATCGATCTATTACACACATGATGACATATGTAATCAATCTAATGAAGAAACACATCGATATGCTAACGAATATTCACACCAGAAACGCCAAAAACACGAGGAAAAGGACTGCTGTATATATAGATTTCCGCCCGAAAGTGTGCATGGCAGACCAGCGGTATTACCCCACCATGCACAATCACCCAAAAGTATTGCATGAACCTTCCTACCCCGATAACAGGATTCGCCGGCGCCATAAAATCAGGCACGCAGGTCGACAGCGAAGCAGCTGCCTCACCCATTTCATTGAAATTGGCTTTGTTTATCACAGTTTTTTTTATATATACAAGGATCATAATAGGAACTAAAAAATAATAAAATAAAATAAAAACAGAAACAAACAAAATATGGGAGTTAACATACAAGAGGAAGATAATATGCATATATATATATATATATATTTTTGTTTTGTCTTATTCACGAAGGTTGTTAATTTTCCTTTCACTTCAATGCCACAGCCGAGGGCAATTTTGCTCGCTCTCCAGGCTGAAATACGACACGGGGCATTGGGACTTCAGGTTCATCTCTCTCTCTCACTCTCTATCTATCTTTGTCTGTCTGTCTCCCTTTCTCTCTCTCTTTCTTTCTCTTCCTCCCCCCCTCTCTCTATCTATATCTGTCTGTTTATCTATCTATCTATTTGTTTTGTCTGTCTTTCTCTCCCTCTGTCCGTATTTCTCTCTCTCTCTCTCTCTCTCTCTCTCTCTCTCTCTCTCTCTCTATTTATATCTCTTTCTCAGATGAAGGGATAGCAGTGAGAGAGTTATGGAGGGAGAAAAGGAAAAGAGATAAGGAAGAAAGGAAGAGGGAGAGAGGGTAAGAGGAGAAGGGGCATTAGAAATCAGAGAGAGAAAGAAGGGAAAGGGAGACAAAAGAAGAAATAGGAGATAAAAGGGACAGAATAAAAAAAAAATATATATATATATATATTGTGGAGAGAGGGAAAGTGAGGAAGGAGAAAGGGAGAAAGGGGAAAGCTGAAAGTGAGGAAGGGAAGGGAGAAGAAGATACGAGGAAGGGAGGGAAATAGGAAGTGGGAAATGAAAGGGAAAGAGAAAAAGAGAAATATAAATAGAGAGTTGGGTAGAAGCAGAGAGAGAGGGGTGGGGAGAGAAAAAGAAGGGAATAAATAATGAATAGAAGAATAAGCAAAAGAGAAGAAGAAAAAAAAGGAAATAACGAACTCACCAAACGATCCGTATTTAGACATCAAAGAACGTTTTTTTTTCCCTATGAAGAAGAGGAACGTTTTCGTCACTCAACGTTTCCCTTTGTGAATCCTGGTTTATGGCTGATTCCTCGTCTTTCTCGCTGCCGACAGGTTTCGTTATTTTTTTCTTCTTATCAAATCGATGTTATCAAGTGTTTGTGTTGCATTTAATGAGGCGACTTTGATCGATTAACCTCCTTCAGCCTTTTTTTTTTTAATGCTGATGGAGAGTGGTTTGCTCTGCTGATGGTTTCAAATGGACTTGATGAATGGCCGTACTATTGTTTGGTTATGATGGTAGTTTTGTCATTAGCGGAGGGCATATGTGTGTTGAATTGTGTTGGCGTTGGTATTGATAATAGGAAATCAATGTGTATTTTATTAGTACTGATATTGTGTTATTGGTATTGCCATAACATAAAGTCAGAAATAAAGATTTTTTTCGGATGATATTTTCATAGTTTGGGTTTTAGATTTAAAGTTGCAACATCGTTAATTCTCGTGACCTTTAGATGTTATTCAGATCATGATATGGAAGTTATAGCAAGAATTATAAAATAACTGTGATGGATTTATTACGAGTGACGAAATAATGATGTAAGTAAGGATGTTTTTAAGTAACGACAACGTTAACGATAATGTTAAAAATGTTGAATATTGTTGTTATCTTCCTTACCATTAACGTAATATACAGTGGCCTTCTTCCTCCACTAAATTTCTTCCATTTTCCTTCCAAAACGAAAATATTTACAACACTGGCCTTAAACTCAACATATCAAATCCCAGAGAAGATATATCACTGTAAGCATTCGAAGTACCAAGGTGCATTAGTCTGATTCGGAGAGAAATTAGCTTGTACTTCTCTGTGACACGCGATGATAATGTAATATGTTCAAAAAGTGCCATCATTATGAATGGAGAATTTACATGCTAGTCGTTTTACGCAAGTGATACTTGGCATAAATGTGATGAATAACGTGTTAATGTGTTTGCTTGTGCGTTATATAGAGATTTTACATCTATATCTACTCCTCTTTCTCTCTCTCTCTCTCTCCTACCTCCCCCCCCCTCTCTCTCTCTCTGCAGTTTATGGTCATATCCAGGGCATCACATATACATACATATATAAATCGCTGTATGGATATTATGACATCAATTCTTATGTTCTCATTGGCCAAAACAATATATATATATATATATATATATATATATATATATATATATATATATATATATATATATATATATATATATATTGATATACATCCGTCCACTAGACTTATAAAGAGATTGGATTCTGTTGTTAACGACTTTCCTTCTTCGTGTTTCAG